GAAATTGCAAAATAGGAAAGTCCTAGCACCACTTGTTCAAAAGTAATGACTTAGGATAATTTTTTGAAAGGTAGATCAAACTCAAAGGTCAAAGGGTCAAAGTTCATGGTTTCTTAAGAAAGGTTTAATGTAACAAGGATTACATGTATGAAGTATGAAAACCCTAGCCCTTACCATTCAAAAGTTATGGCCAAGGTTAAGTTTTTTTTTTTCATAAATACGGAAATCTCCAAGGTCAAGGTTAAAAGGTAAAAGTTTTTAGTATCCAATGAAAGGTCATGCCAAAAAATACATATGTGAAGTATGAGAGTACTAGTATCTACCGTTTAAAAGTTAAGGCCAAAGTAAAAATTTGGCATTTTTGTGTAAAATTGGACAAACTCCAAGGTAAAGGTCAAAAGGTCAAATTTTGTTGTATCCAAAATAAGGTCTTGTCACAAGGAATACACATATTAAATATGAAAATCATAGCTCTAATAAATGAAAAGTTATGGTCAAGGTTAAAGTTTTTGCGGACAAACAGACCGCCAGATAGACAGACAGACATACAGACGGACACGATAAAAATATATACCCCCAAATCTTCGATTACGGGGACATAAAAAGAAATAGTCCTCAATTAACTTTTCATATTCTGATACAGTATGTATAGGATGGAACATATAAAAAATACACAGCATCGAGGAGTCCTGTCATCCATTTCTATTTTTACTCACTCGTCCGAATGAGACCTTATTAATTCGAAAAAATTACTTATTTGTACGCACCGATAGGACTGCTTTTCTACAAAAAATGATTTTTTTTCTACGGGTTGGGGTCATTTTTGTCGTTGAAAATGACCCCGGTCATTATTCGATGGGGGTCATTATTCGTCTTTACAACGGCCACAGAAGCCTAGCAGTAGAGCGTTCGCTTCGTGATCGGGAGGCCCGGATTAGATTCTCGTTCGCGGCGCCGCGTTATACCTAAGACATAAACATAGGTAGTGACTGTTCCTTCGTCAGGCGCTCGACACTAGAAGAGAAAGTCATGGATCATTCGGATATGACCTTAAAAAGTAGGTTCCGTGTCAAGGTAGGCGTTGGCACGATAAAGAACCATCAATACTCAATGGCCCTGAGTGCCGAGTATAGGTCTAAATTGACACCCTTCACCAGCATACGGTGACGTCTCCATAAGAGTGAAAAATCCTCGAGAGGACATTAAACAATATACATGTACAATCAATCAATCCAATATTTACATTGTTAATTGAACTTTTGAGCTTCTTTTGAAGCTCCTTGTTGAAAACATATATGTGGTTTACAGAGTCTTCATAGTCTAGCTCATAAGGAGGAGCGATTATTTTGGGTTTTTGACGATTTGTTTATATTGCAAACATGTTGAATAAGTGTACTAAATATAAATTGTGAAAAAATTGTCAAATAAGCTCCGGGGTTAAATATCGGGGGAAGGGGGGGGGGTCCTGTCCACAAGTACCTGTGGAATTCGTATCCAGGTTTCAACGTTCATGTGATATGGAATGCATAACGCATACATATATGGTCTAAACACTAAAATCCTTCAATAATTTTTCCTGATGCATATAAAACCAGTAGTCTATATTTATTCTGCATTCATGAATTTAAAAAATAATGCATATCTCCGGGATTCAAATGACGAAATACTAGCACATTTGCACTGTAAACGACTTTTCGTCAAACGCTAATGGTCTGCGACGCAAAAAAATGAAGGGGTAGGGGTGGTAGGGGTATTCAAAAATTGCCTTAAAATCTACATTTAAATACGCTTTAGATATGAGAACTTTTAGATATGTAAGTTAATATATTTTTGAAGCAAAAGCAATATTCCAATTTGATTTTTTTAAAAATGTGTATTTGTAGAGTCATAGCATAGTGATCGACCCCCGTCTGAAAGACGCGCGGGAACGTGATTTATTGAGAAAGGGGGAGGGGATAATTTTCCGCTATTAAATCAAAACTGGTCGTAAAAAAATTATACAAAAAAATATAAAGATTATTTTTACTACCAGCTACCTAAAGAAAGTTTTTATCAAAATTAAACGACGGGTTTTTTCACAAAAAAATTTTGAATTTGAAAAATACACAATTTTCAAGGCTTAGGTAATCAATAGTTTTTCAGTTTAAGGTCTTTAAAAATTGTTTGATGATTTTTTTATCAAAAAAAAATGTTTTTGTGTTAAATGGTTTAAAGAATAAGTCAATGAAATTTGACAGTTATATCTAACCTGGCCTTTTTGAAAATCAAGGTTTAAGTAGTTCATTGATTAAAAATTTTCTCTCCTTGTAAACAACTAACGGGGGGTAACTTTTGGAATTTCCTGTCCAAAAACCACTCGAACGATTTTGTGCAAAATATGCATGCTTGCAGTAGTTTTTGTCATGTACTAAATATACAAAAATAACGAAAATTAAACGACAGGAATTTTTTGGGGTAGAAGTGTTGTACATCCTTAAAATACAGGTTGCTATCACTAGTTTCTTCACTATGTAATGGTAATCCGAGTGATTTTTTTAGAAGAAGTCATTAATGGTGTCTCAAATTTTGTTTTGGAATTTACTTTACCGCTGTGCTTTGCACAACTGACACTTGGGAAAACTCAGCAATTATTTGCAACTGTTACAAACAAATACAAAGGGGTAAGTAATATTATACTGGATTAATCAATAAGTTTAATACATAAGCTAGCTATCTTGTGGAATAATTACAGTTTTCAAATAATTCGTGTACATTATAAACGATGCGTACACAAGTTTATTTTATGTTATTTAATATAGAGAAATTCTGTATATATTTACACTAACTGTTTGTAAGATTTACATGATAGCATGTTTTTTAAACTTCTATCATACTAATTGTTAGTCCATTATTTATACATTGAATTGACGAGGGATTTTTCGTAATTTCTCGATCATGACAATGAGCACACGGCGGGTGTGACGAGTCAGCGGGGGATGCTCACTCCTCCATGGCACCTGATCCCCCCTCTGATGTTTCGGAGGTCCGTGTTTGCTCTGCTCCTATTTTGTATTGTTTTATGGGCTTTGATATTGAATACTCTTCGTTATCTCCATATCCTCATATAATTATTGATTAATTTTCAATAATTTGCCTCGGAAAAAACACTTCCCGATGATTGCACATTTTCATACTAACTGTTCATAATTTATACACTGAATTCACGACGGATTTCTCTATTATTTAAGAAATAAACAATGTTATTCACTGACAATGACAGAATTTCTCTATATTAAATTACATAAAACAAATTTGTGTACGTATCGTTATCGTCAGAAAATAGTTAGAAAATCCGTTGTCAGTTTCGTGTATAAATAATGGACTAGCAATTGGTATGAAAAATGTCAGTCAGCATTTGACTCAATGATAAATTGTATTTGCTGACAAGGTCAATGTATCGACCATAGAACTTACGAAATTATAACGAGACTATTGATTTTCTCGTTTCGTCAACTTGCTTTTCAATAATTTACTTCGTTTTAGAAATTGTTCATACGTAGAGCATTCTCTTGCGTATCGAATCAACTGAGATATATATACTCCGTATGCAGGTGATGAAGGTATATTGCTGCATAAGTAAGGAGAGTTGACGATAGAAAAGTGAAAGTCATCACGTTTATCATATAGCTTGGTAATAACATTACCATTAACGTCTTTTTCAGGTAAAATATTCATCTTATATCTCAAGCTCACCATGATATATCGTATCGACGTAGGAATCGAATTGACCATTGTTAATTGTCAATACGTTGTCGATATATCTAAAATGTTGAGTTGAAGGCCACAGAGAGTGTATTCTTCTTTTCACGCATAAGATATGAGGGTTGTCCAAAAAAGTCGTAGACAGTGTTTATAACTTTTTTAATACTCAACCAACACTTACCAGCTTTTGCATAGACATAATTCATTCGATGTACTTTAAAATTGTGAACTCTTAAATATATATCTTTCATATTAATAATATTGGGACGATTTATATGAAGGCCGATTTGGTCTGTTGACGCATGGCCAAAATTCGAAACAATTTATGCATATAGGTATTACATTTCTTTTTATTTCTTTAGTACTATGTAAAAGTCTGAACTCGAATTTAAATTCGTAACACCAGAATCAAAATCTTAATAATATGGCAAGATTTCATATAAATAGCATTAGAAATAGACGAATAGTGTCATTTTCAAAGTGTTGTTGGATTTAAGATTTAAGATTGATGAAAATGACGTCGTTAAACGCGAAACCGGTGCACGGAAATGTAATAAATTGTTTTTGTTATGTTCTATATACATCCGAGACGGGAAAAAAGAGTACAGAAAGGACATGACACACTAGATTTTAATAGAGAAGTTGTTTTTAAATTGCATGAGATTCAATGTTAGTGTTTCCTCTATATCGAAAAAATGGTTACTGTATTTAAGAAATAGAGTACTGTTTGTTAATCACAGACATTAATTTGGGAACGTTCTGGGCCATGAGCGTCTTCAAACAAGGTGTATTCTCTACTACCTAAAATGTAAGATGATCTTTCGACTAAATTATGACTAAAATTTGAATCTGCTTAAAAATAATCGACAGTGTTGAATAAAAAAAAGTGCCTTGGTTAAGAGTGGTTTTTCACTTAAAAATATTCATTTTAATATAGATAATCATATGTGAAGCAGGAAAAGAGATTATGGCATTATGAGATGTATCGTTTTGTATTTGTTTTATAATGTGGGTTCCCTGGCTGGATATGCGGATTCACAACTGACAACACGTGTGTACAAAACAGGAAAACGTTTATTCAACGACACACATAAAAGTAACTCGTACATCATTCAGTTCGTACATTTACATATTCGTATTACAATAACATTACATCTCCCTTCTTTTGAGTGAATAACATGTATGCAGGAAAAAGAAAAAAATACAAAAATCTGAAAACACATGTTCGACCTAACAAGACCATTTTCTTACTTAAAAATCTACATAGACACAATTACTTTGGGCTTAACAATCCTACCATAGCGAGAAATATAAGGGGAGGAGTTACATGTAGCAGGGGGGTCATGCTTAGCCTCAGTAGCTGGTTCGGAGATTGGTTCAACAGGATTCGGAAGACTAGTTGGAATGGGAGGTGAGGTAGAAGGTTCTGCGAAATTGACGATATTGGAATCTGATACATCAGGCTCGAACTTTTCTTTTGACTTGATCAGGTGTCGTCTGTTTCTCCGGTATACTGCTCCCTCAGTGCTTTTAACTGTGTACGATCTGTCTCCTTCTTCTTTGGTGACTATTCCTTGTTTCCATAGTTTCCCTTCTTGGTACCTTTTACTATCTCCGACTGAAAGGGGTGGTAAAGGCTTAGCACTGCGATCATAATACCCTTTCTGTTTCTCTCTCCCTGCTTCCATCAATTCCTTAACCCTGACTGGTACCTTTGGTTTCAGCTCATCTGGAACTACTGGAAGTATGGATCTCAACTTGCGACTCATCAATAGTTGGGCAGGCGAGTAACCTAAGCTCAAAGGCGTTGTCCTGTATTCTAGTAGTCCTAGGTTATAATCTTTCCCATCTGCCTTGCTCTTGTCCAAAATTCTTTTGGCAATCTGTACTGTCTTCTCCGCTAGTCCATTGGACTGTGGATACTTTGGACTGGAAGTGACATGGTTAAAGTCATAATCCTGAGCAAATGTGGAGAAATCTTGGCTTGCATATTGTGGACCATTATCCGATACGACTTTCCGTGGAATACCAAGCCTACTAAACATCTTCTTCATTTTCTCTATAACAGCTTGGCTGGTTGTCTTGTGTAGTTTCTCTACTTCAAAGTATCTACTGTAGTAATCAACTACTAACAGGTACTCCTGGTTGTTCCATGTGAACAAATCTGTAGCTATAGTCTCCCATGGGTAGTCTGGAATATCATGAGTGATCAGTGGCTCCTTGGTGTTCGAGTTTCTTCTTTCTAAGCAAAATCCACATTCCAGAACCATGTTTGTGATGTCTGCTGACATCCTGGGCCAAAATATGTCTCTGGCTCTCCTCAAGCATTTTTCCACACCCATGTGACCTATATGTACAGCTTCCATCATATGGCGTCTTAAGTCTCTTGGTATGATTGTCTTGTGACCCTTAAATATAATGCCATCTATCTCTGTCAACTCATCCCTGTGGTTCCAATACTCTAGTGCTTCGGATGGACATTTCTTGCGTTTATCGGGCCAACCATCATGTATAATGTTCAAAAGTATCTTCATCTGTGGATCAGCTTGGGTTGCTAATCTGACTTCCTCTAATCTTCTATCACTCATCCTTGTACTGGACATAACTGTGTGCACATGTAAGTCCATGCCTGCTGTTAGCTGTGGGTAAGTATCTGGCAAAAACTTGCGTGAAAGTGTATCAGCAATAGGTATGTCCTTGCCTGGGATGTGCGTCAACTTTAGATCATAAGCCTGCAGTTGCAAAAGCATCCTTTGTAGCCTAGCTGGAGCCTGTGCGAGTGGCTTTGCGTGAATGGCAACTAGGGGTTTGTGGTCTGTATGGACCTGGACTTCCCTACCATATAGGTACTGGTGAAATTTCTTGCAGCCGAAAAGGATAGACAACATCTCCTTCTCTATCTGGGCGTACTTGATTTCCGCTGGGGTTAGTGACTTTGAAGCAAATGCAACTGGTTTGCCATCCTGCAAAAGTGTTGCTCCGAGCCCAAACTGAGATGCGTTGGTCTCCAACACTACTGGTTTTCCCGGGTCAAAGTATGTAAGCAAAGGTCCAGGTGTTCTGGTTATAAGGTCCTTGACCTTCTGGAATGCCTGGGCCTGTGGTGTATCCCATATAAATTCCGAGTCTTTCAGCAGCAGCTGACGTAACGGGCTGGTGATGTTAGCAAGATTTGGTGCGAACTTTGAGAGGTAAGTGAACATACCCATGATAGTCTGAAGCTCTGACTTATTGGAAGGAGGCTCCATATCCCTGATAGCAGCTACCTTAGAGGGATCTGGCTTCAATCCATCTGCTGAGAGGATGTGGCCAAAATATTCAACTTCCTGAACTCCCACTTGTAACTTCTCCTTGTTCATCTTGATGCCCACACTCCTGCATTTATCTAACACCTTGATGAGGTTGTCATTGTGCTCCTGCGGGGTCCTGCCGTAAACCAATATGTCATCAACAATGGCAGCAACTCCGGACATTCCTTCGAAGCATTGGTCTATCTTCTGCTGGAAGATGTCTTGTGAGTTTTTCAAGCCAAATGGTAAACGCAGGTAGCGATATCTCCCGAATGGAGTATTGAATGTAGTGAGCAGTGACGATTCACGTGAAAGTCTAACAGTCCAGTAACCAGAGCTGGCATCTAGCTTGGAAAAGTACTTGGCACCTGAGACTTGAGGAAGGATATCATCCAAGGTCCTCATAGGGTAGTGTGGTCTCATAATGGCTTTGTTGAGTTCCATGGGATCCAAACATACTCTAAGCTTTCCTGATGCTGGCTTTGTAGTAACGACTAATGAGTTCACCCATTCTGTTGGTTCTGTTACCTTGGTGATAATTTGCGCTGACTCCATTCTGTCTAAGTCTACTTTTAGCTTGTCGCGTAGGGCTACAGGCACCTTGCGCGAGGGGTTGAAAACCGGTCTAACATTTGGATCAACCTGAAAAGTACATTCTCCTGCAAACAGACCTATACCGTGAAATACATCTGAGTACTGACTAAGTACATGACTCTTACTGAAGGGCATAACCTTATCAATAGAGTAAGTGAGGTGAACTATGCCTAAATCTAAGCATGCTCGTAGACCTAGAATTGGATGCGAATGTGTCTGTACGACCTGATACTGTATGCTATAGTGCTTACCCTTAAGGTTGCTTTGAATAACAGAATAGCCTATGGGGTGTACAGAGTGGCCATTATAGGCAAAAAGCTTAATCTTAGATTTGCCTAATGTGTGATAAGGGGCTAAATCAATGTACAAGGATTCGGGCAAAATATTGACTTGAGACCCTGTATCTACTTTGAACCTAACCTCTTTGTGGTTTGGGCCTAGCTTAATGTTAATAAATGCTTGATCATGCTCAACATTGCTAACAACATTGTCAATATTAAAATCTGAATCTGACTCATGAACAACATTGCCAAACACATTACATGCATCATGATTAATGTCAACAGATCTCTGTGTACTGTCACTTGCACGATTATCATTGTTCATTTCACTGGGCTTCTGCAGACAGTCACTCGAGTTCACATGGTTAATGTCATTTACGGATCGCGAATGACACACACTGGCGAAGTGGTTCCACTTGTGGCAATTGTTGCACCTCTGGCCTTGTGCCGGACAAGTATCCTAAGTTCCATGTCGCTTTCCGCACTTTCCGCATGGCTTCGTCTTCGGGGTAGACGGAAACTTTATCGGAGTCTTTGGCGGAGTGGATCGCGTCTTCGTCTGGTGGGGTGGTCTCCTACCGCTCCTCTCTGCAGGTGAGTGTGCATGGGGTGTAGACTTGGACAATGCTTGTACATGTACCGATTGCTGTCCCATGAGCTTGAGCTGTTCTTGAGAGTACTCGTATGCCTGAGCTATCTGTACAGCCTTATCCAGGGTGAGTGCCTCGCCAACGTTAATAAGTTTTTCCCGAATTTTTTCTGTTTGTATCCCAAACACGATTCTATCTCTTATCATTTCCTCTGCGTCACTAAAGTTGCAGTCTCTTGCTAATAGTTTTAGTTTAGTCACAAACTGATCAAACGTGTTTGTTCCCTGTACTTCATTGTTAAACTTGTATCTGGCGAAGATTGGGTTTAACTTGGGTTGAACGTACCTGAGGAATCTATCATAGTGTGGTTGTAGTTTCTTCATGTCGTCGTTCGAAAATGCTGGGAAAGTGTTATAAATATCACGACCTTTCTCGCCAATCCACAATAGAAGGTATGAGACTTGTTCTTCTTCATTGTTTTCTTTCAATGGGCCTGCGAAAATCAGCTTCACGTGTTGTTCAAACTTTTTCCAGGCTTCGGGCAAATTCGAACTAGACCAGTCCATGGTCGGTGGGGGAATGCCGCATAATTCCATGATAGCCGTGATTACTTGTGAAGGTGGAACTATCCGCCACTTCTGACACCATGTGTCGTTTTGTACTAGTCTTAAGATGTGGGTTCTCTAGCTGGATATGCGGATTCACAACTGACAACACGTGTGTACAAAACAGGAAAAGGTTTATTCAACGACACACACAAAAGTAACTCGTACATCATTCAGTTCGTACATTTACATATTCGTATTACAATAACATTACATGAGAGACGTAAATTATGCTTGCTTTCGTGCGCCAATGTACACTTACATTGTTTCTTTATTTTTTCCACAGTTTTCTTATAAAATGTTGTCTCGTCATGAACTTGAAATGCATGATCATAAAATGTTACATTTTGCTATGACAAGAAAGGAAATTTGATTTAGTTAAGAAAAAAACTACTGTAAACATATTACATTTGGCGATGTACGAGGGTTGTCCCAAAAAGTCGTAGGCAGGGAGAACAGTTTATATTTCTTATCTTCTCATATCAAAAAGTAACATTATATGATCATGCATTTCAAATTTCATGATGATATCACATTTAATAAGGAAATTATGAAAAAATAAAGAAAGCATGTAAGTGTACATCGGCGCACGAAAGCAAGCGTAATTTACGTCTCATATAACGTCATGAGCTCTTGTTCTGCTTCACACGCGTCTATTCATATTCAATAAGTTTTTTTTAAGTGAAAGACCACTCTTTACTAAGGGACTTATTTAAATTCACTACTGTCAGGTTTTTTGTTGTAGTTTGAAAACAGATTCAAATTTTAGTCGAAATTTAGTCGAAAGATCGCCATACATTGTAGGTAGCAGAGAATACATATTGTTTGACGTCGTTCGTGGCTAAGATTGCTCCCCGTTGTCTGCGTACCTTAACAAACAGTACTCTACTTCTTACATGCTGTAACTATTCTCGGTATAGAGGAAATACTCTCATTGATCTCATGTCATTTAAAAATAATTTCCCTTTTAAAATCTAGTGTGTTAATGTCATTACTGTACTTTTTCCCCGTCTCTAATGTATACAAATAATATTCAAAACAATTTATTATATATCCGTGCGCCGGTTACGCGTTTGACGACGTCATTTTCATCAAACACAATTCCAACAACACTTTGAAAATCATGACACTAATCGTCTGTTTCCAATGCTTTTTTAAAGTGAAATTTTGACATATTATTACGATTTTGGTTCTGATTTCACTGATGTTAATTTGAGTTCAATGTTTTACATAGTACAAAAGAAATAAAAGCAAATGTAATAGTTATATGCGTAAAATAATTCGAATTTTGTTCGTGCGACGACAGACCTTATCGGCCCTCATAAAAATCGTCCTTATATTATCAATATGAAAGATATATGTTTCAAAATCCACAATTTCAAAGAACATTGAATATATTATGTCTAAATTCTACGCTAACTTGTTCAAAAACCAATTTTCTCCAAATATCGTTCATATTCACGCTAAATATAATACATTTACAGTTTATTGCGTTTTAGAATTCATATACATGTATATACTATTTTACGCTTAATATTACTGTAACAGATCTTGTATTATATATCCGCATGTGAAAAAGGAATTGCACTCATAGCAAAAGGAGTTACATTTATCTCCCGATAATGACAAGGGGCACGCGACAGATGTGACCGGTCAGCTGCAGGGGATGCTTACTCAACCATGGCACCTAATCCCACTTGTGATATTTTTGAGGTCCGTGTTTACTTTGCGCCTATTTTGATCTTGAATACTCTTCGTTCATATTCGTATGTTTCATTCTACAGCTTTGATTCTGACAACCCCACTAATTATTTAATGTGTTTGGAACCTTTTATTTTTCGGTGTTCTACAAATAAAAAACCCGATGAGTTCAGAGTAGCTAACAGTGGCTCTGGTGAGAGGTAGCGAGACTTCAGCGAGATAGGGTAAATTATTCACGGAAATGTGACTAGGAAGTGACTAACACGTGGAGACATAGTAAACAGAAAAATTATGTTGCGTTTTAGTTTTCATTCTGTAGAAATGTACTTCAAACGATCTTTATTGAATTCATTCAAATTTAAATTATAACTATTCTCTATGATACAATTTTCTGCTGTCATAAATAAAAATTTCTTTAAGGACAAATATTTTGCATGGGAACCGGGACTATATTTTTTGGCGTCAGATTAGCAAATGAGGCACCAATGTGACTTTTAAAAATTCCAAATCAGATGAATGAGAATTGCATTATGGGTAACTATAAATTATAAATAAATACAACAGGAATTTTACGCTTGATAACTTTTTGTACTATCGGTGAATACAATTGTCCCTGGCCAACACACGTGATCACGAATATAATTATGTAAAAAGGTTTCTTTCCATTTAAATGCATACGAGAAGCTGCTCGTTTTCCTTACCCTCAAGTAGGACCTTGCCTTCAGTACAGCAGCCTGACCCTTTGTCTTCTACTGCGCAACCCTTTACGAAATTCCTGGATCCGCCATTGCCAGTTTTATTGTGAACTATGATAAGATGTATTAATTGTTATTTACCCCCTCCCCCCTAAGCCACCCAGTTCTGTTGAAAATCATGAAAGTCTTTCAGAAAGGTGTGGCAAGCTAAGGTAACACATTGTTAACAGGACATGTTTTCAGAAGAAACAGACCATAGCAATTTCCTGTTTACTGCCTGTTTTATATATAAAACATGCTCTACCCTTTGAATCTTGAATTTAAATTTCAATAACATTAGTAGGGTTGACTGTGATTGTGAGTTTCTTATATCATCCACAGCTAATTTCCCAATTACTAAGTAATTCAACGATAGAGAAAACCAGAGGTTCGTGCATATATTGGAAATTTACTGTAGCAAAATAATAACTCGTGAAAAGTGGCAACGCTCAAGGTTTACCTACAACTTAGTACCAGCTATCCTTTGGCTTATCTGAATGCTCCTTCGCATAAATAATTATTGTGATATAATTTTCCATAGCTTTTGAAGAATATTTTAATTTGCAAAGAGATAGAGTAGGATAATGGTATTGTTTATCAGCAATACTAAATTTCAGTTTATGGTTTGTTTACTACGTCCGGTTATGCTATCATGGGCATTTTCAAAGATTTTTATATGCATGAAACAGCTGGATTTTTTGGCAATTATATAACTCTCCAATGTATCAAAAAAAAAACAAGATCTGTATAAAAATTAAGTATATTATATTTTAAGTAACAGGACTCTTACTCTGACTAATAAAATGAACAAAAAGTCTTCACTCTCACTTGTTTTTGTGCGGATTTTATTTTATTTCAACTACAACTTACTTCTGCTTTTGACTTTTGACCCCTAAAAGGAATATAAGTTACAAAGACATTTCAAATTTTGATTTTTTTTTCATGCGCTAAAATTTTCAAATATGTTGAGTTATGGTTGGGTTACAACTGCGCTGGCGCCATTTTAGATTTTACGAGAAAATATGGGGCTCCCTAAACTTAACTTCTCTTAAAGCTTGAGCCTTTATAGATCCTACTTTGGTGAAAACACCTGATTAATTTATGCCATCAAATTTTGTAACAAGATTGCCTATTCTTCTTTGATTGTTTAATTTGTCTTTTTTTCACAGTTAGAACTTTTTAACACAATTTTTCGAACGAGATTTGATAAAAACATGCTACGTTTGACACTCACTTACACCTATTAAGAACTACAAGATCTCCAAAAAACATCATATGATAGATTGTAGCCTATGTTAACATTCTACCAACTGGCATTTGTCTTTTGTAATGTCTTTTTTAAGGTCTGTATTCTAAACATTTGGAATTCAGACGCCATTGTCGGAGTAATCACTTCATAAAAATTACAAAGTGATTTCATAATATGTGTATTTTTTGTCTTATATCATTGGTATTTTAAATGATATCAAACTCAGTAATATCCATGAAACGGTTATTTTTTTTATTTAACAGATCTCAGAACTTTAGAAATGTCCCTCGTATATTTCCTACCGTTGCTTATTATGTTACAAAAAACATCTCTCATCTGAAGTCTCAACTAGAAGTATATGTATCTATACGTACTCTCCAAATTGTTAAATGCAATTTAAAGACAGATTTTGTACTGTATTACATAAATTGACCTAATCACAGTTT